GATCACCCCAGTGAGTAAATTGTTGGAAACAGAAAAGAAGTAGGCCATACCAAGGCTTAGCCCAATGCTTTCAGGGAGATCCGAATCGAAACGATTGTCAGAGTAGTCGATGAAGGTAGCAGTTGTTGGGGGAATCGGAATCTCCCCACTGAGGTTATTGAAATGCAAGTCAAGGACACTAAGATCAGAAAAACGATAGGGCTTTTGGAGGCTGGTTAAGTGGTTATGAGAAAGGTTCATATACGAAAGGCTTCCATTACCAACAGTCCAGATCCAGCTTGGTATTTCTCCATCAATTTTGTTKCTGGAAAGGTCTAGATTTATCAATCTTGATTGGTTTTGTAGATGAGGGAAMTTCTGAAGATTGCATGMAGCCAGMTTTAAYGAGAACAACTTTGGAAGATGAGACAAGCCAGAKATAYTGCTGTTTGTTATAACAGACAAGTTGTTGAATGAAAGATCAAGAGTCGTTAAGTTGGTCAGACTCTGAAAATCTTTGGTTTCTATCTTGCCAYTCAGCTTGTTTGACGATAGTAAGAGGATGCTAAGCTGTCGAAGTTCAAAGAAAGACCTRGGAATTTTTCCTTCCARTTTGTTACTGCTTAAATCAAGAGTATCCAACAAAGATGCAGATGCATTAGAAAAGTTRGCTARTTCACCATCRAAATYGTTGTTGGAAAGYTGTATCTTTTGCACTARCTGCAGAGAGAACAGAGATGAAGGTATGCTTCCATTGAATGCATTAAATCTKAGATCCACTAGAACAAGATTTTGAAGATCTTGGAAGTGAGCAGAAGGGATAAATCCYGATAAGCTGTTCCGTGAGAGGTCAATATGGGTAAGATTCTTACWCAGCTGGAATGATGGGATTTGGCCAATAAAGCTGTTTGATGACAAGTCTAGGTATGACAATTCGGTGAGGTTTTCCATGGACTTTGGGATTATTCCACTGAAATTGCTCTYGGACAGCTCGATCCGGGATAAGTTCTTAAGATTTCCAATAGAATCTGGTATCCCCCCTGAAAAGTTTGTGTTKCTGAGCACTAAAATTYGAAGGGATCCGTTCGTAGGAAAATGTGGTAAAGAACCATTAAGATCTGTATTAACTGATAAATCCAGAGTCTGTAAMCTCYGCAAYTGGAGGACCTTCTCGGGAAATTTTCCATTCAAATGGCAAGCACCAAGATGCATAACTGTCAGATTCCTGAAGTCTGCAAAGAAATCTGGAACTGGAGCACTCAGATCGTTCAGACCCAGACGAATTATAGAAAGTGACTTCAGGTTCGCAAGGGAGTCATCTAATGGGCCTGAAAGTTGACAATTTGACAAGCTCAAAACTTCCAGATTAGGCAAAGACGATGATAGACCTTGGCACCAGTCAGATTTTTGTGCCGATATATTCACATTATCCAGATAAAGACCTTTAAGCAATGTGAGGTTCTGAACAAGCGTGGTTAGGTTTGGTTTCTCAAGTTTTAGTGAACGAATTTCATAGGAGAAAAGCGAAGAGAGATCAAGAACTTCCAGGCCTGTCAGCTGTGACAATGCTTCAGGAATCTGGCCTGAAAAATCCGAATTTGACAAGTTCAAATACTTCAAACCGGCAAGACTCCCAAATCCGGCAGGAATCTGTATGAAATTGAACTTATTTCCTGCGAGATTCAGGTACTCAAGATTCTCTAGATCGAACAGATCACTGGAATCATCAATACCACCAGATATAGGTTCGTTGCTCAAGTCTAGAACAACAACCTGGCCTCTGGAGTTGCAATTGACGCCTCTCCAGGTGCAACAATCTGTTGTGACATTTGGGTTCCAAGACACCAGTTTTGTCGAAGCTGAAGAATTGAATTGGAGCTTGTTCTTCAACTGGATCAAGATTGATCGCTGGCCAATTTGACATCGACCAGAAACCAATATCGGATTTACCCCGAACAAAATCAGGTGAAAGAGTATGAAGAAAATCTGAAAACAGAGTTGGGTTCTCATTGCAACCATAATTTTAGACATCCAGATGATGCTTATGAACAGTAAGCTGATATATGTTTCTATCTTTTTCAGTATCTAGCGGTTAGGAAAAGTTGTTATTTTTACGGGACAGGAGATGTAGATACTAATATGTTTTTGATTTGAAGGATATGTCTTGACATATTCAGATGAACCTTAAGCAATCAATTCATAGTTGAATATTGAATTTGCCGTTTACTTTGAAGTCCTAGACCTTGTCTCCAAGTGGGATAAACGGGGCTAGTTTGATTTTTAATTTCCAAAGTGTAGCATCATTAGAACGATTGTATTCAAGTGGTATAAATGTAGGGTGTAATTTAGAGTGAATTTAAAACGATTGTGGCTAGAGATACCAATGTGAACAGCGAGACATTAGTCTCATGTTGCTCATTTTTCTATTGGTTGAGTTTTTGATGATTAAGACTAATATATTTGTTATATAGCATTTAATGTTGAAAATCGTGACACAAAACAAGGGAATGTTCTACGGTTTCGGACATGACTGCACATTGTATTCACGCACGTGCGTGTATAAGTAACTTTGCAAAACAGAAAGTTTTGGGTCTTCTGATAAGCCGCACTTTATATTCAACCATGGACGAGCGTAACGTTACTTTGCAAAACAGAAAGTTTTGGATGTTTTTCTACGGCTGCACCTTGTGATCAAGCACTGGCGGGCGTAATATTATTTCGTGAACATAAATATTTATTATTTGGGTCTTCAGACAGGACCACACCTTATGTCATACCCGACTATGCACGACGAGAATTATGATTTTCCTAATTTTTAGTAGTGTGATAAAATTGGGATTCCACCTACGAATTAGTATAAAATACCCCCGTTGAGTTCTATCAGGTAGAGAATGAAATTGAGAGCTTCGAAACCCTAGTTTGAGTTGAGAAAATATTGAGAGATTACATACAATTTAGTGTTCGATTTGTAATTTCTCTTCGGTGTTTAGGTGTTCATCAATAAAAGTTCCTCTTCTTCCTTGTGGATGTGTACATCACCATACCGATGGTGGAACCACATAAATCTTGTGTTTTGGTTGAATGTTCGTTGTGTGTTCTATCCTACTTCGTTTTCCGCATTAATTGTTGGTTGACATCACATTCTTTATTGTCATTGAATAAAGTTCATTACTTGATTTGTTTTTATATTATAGCCTTTGTGGTGGTCAAAACCCCAAAATTCAATAACATAAACCGGATTAAAAATCACAAAAACCAGTCTAATATCGTATTGTCCTATAGAATTTAAGAGCAAAAACCAAGTTTTAGATGCATCATGCATACAAAAGAGAAAAACTGATGGCGCCAAAAACATCAAGTACAAATTTGGTTTCATGATAGATTTTAGAAAATTATCTCATTCGTCTTGTTGTTGTCAAATCAACATGTGTTTAATCATATATGATTAAACTTGTGTATCATACGTATAATCATATATGATACTGATATTCTCGTTTTCTCATAAAATGTTTAGCTTTTTCTTTAAAATATGCTTTCTATAAGAATACATATAATGGGAGTTTCTTATAAAGAAAATAGGAAATTCGTGTAAATATCCAAACATTTAGAGTTCTTACCTCATTTTTATGAATTTTATAGTTTTTAATTTGATTACCTATACTATATTATAACATTTGACAAAAACTCTTTAAAATAATTTTTTATATACAAAGTACTGTTTATTGATACATATTATTAAGATTACAAGTAAAAATGTGCATGAATACATCTTATTAAAGTTCCGTGTTTGAATTCGTGTAATTAACTGCAGATAAACATAATCAAATACATGATAAACATCATTTTAAATATAAAAAATCTAAAATATAATTAAGATAATAATTGAGTTCTAACAGAATACTTAATTATTATTTTAAGAAAATATTTTATTAAACCATAAAAAATTAGTTCGTTTTTGAACTTTCATTAAATTATAATAAAAAAATTGAATGAAAGAAATTATACAAAAACAAAAACTTTTAAACAGTTAATTTGATACTAATATCGATTATTTTTTTCAAAAATTTATAATATCTTCAAATTTATATTTCATTAAAAGAACAAAAATAGATTTTTTTTCTCATAACCACATAAAATAGCATTATAACATTGATAGATCCAAAATATAAAACAAAAGATTAAAATCAAGATGTATCTCGCTGCATTGTACGAGTACCCTTCTAGTCTTAATTTTAGAATTCGATTTCACCAATAATGTCCCCATTCCCCAACATATTCAACGTGAAATTTCCTGTTAAATGGGGTGTTTAGATGTGTACAATCGAGTTCATTAACGGTATGAAATTTAGCATTTCATTTTGGCGAACATCACTCTTATACATCGTTTCTATGTTGTAATCTAGACAATAAAGATTATTCGGTGTCCATGCTTCTAATACAGCAAAATCAGACAAGCCATAGACAGACCTAGAGGGGTGGTTAGGTGGCACGTGCCACCGTGTTGTTCCTCCGTGGTAAGGTAAAAAAATTTAGGTAATTAGGTTCGTGAAAGGTGCAACCGTTTTATTCTAGAATATGCAACCGTTTTATATGGTGTCACCATATCCAAAAATTCTTGGGTCCGTCCCACAAGTCTGGATAGTAACATGCAGAGCAGTTGTTTCCGTAAATATCCTCAACTTGGCAAAATGAAAAGGCCATATAAGATACATTTTGGAAAACTAGTTAGGAGTAAACAATAACATATAAAACGACAAGGGTTGTGGTGTAACGGTTAAGACCCTAGGGGATGTGGTGGAATATCCCATCTGCCTAAGGTTCTATTCTAGACGTATTTCTTGCAGTAAAAATTTGTCGGGATTAGTCAGCCTAGGACACCGTTCAAAAAAGACATACAAATAGAAACAGGTACAATAAAAACGTTAATATGACCTTGTAGGTGTTTATGCACTATTATGCCAGTGGATTGCAACGAATTCCATACTACAACATCGTGACCGCAGTCGAGTTTAACAACCAAGTTCGGGATGGATTGGTGTTTGGTTCATCTATGTTTAGAACACCAGAATATCAAACCATGAACAAAGAAAGGCATGGGAAAATATATAGTAGGTGTTAACAGAAATGACTCGAGACAAAATTTGAGAATAATTCCACGGTTATAGACCACAATTCCTACTCGAAACATAAAATCTTTAGACCAATAACTACAAAATTTAAGCGGAACCTGATGGAGAAACCAACTTCACTCCGACGTCGTTTTCTTGGACTTTTTAATATTTTTCTTCCTCGTCTCCAGGGTATCAACACTTGCCTTCTTCCTTGCTTGTGAAATCTAAACATCCACCCGAAAATCACATATGAGAAAAAACTCACAAGATATAATACAGGAGAAAGATAGATGGCCTAGAACTTAGAAACATATCGAAACGTAGAGCATACACATCCAGTTGGAACCAAAATCAAGCTGCTTATATTACTAGCTTGAACAGCATCTTCTTTAAACAACAAATGGACACACACATGTTTTGACAAGATTTGAGCTCACAACGTTAAAGGATGCATTTGGTACACAGAAGTGACTGAACAGGCAAGAGTGAGGTAGGAGGGTGAAAGAATTATGAAAGGTTTTAGAGTTTTAATTAGACACCTGTAGTTTAGTAATTTACTAATCTTGTCTCATCGAGTCTAAATATGTCAGGTTAACTAAACAGATACCATCAAAAATTGAAGAATTTTTACCAGATAAAATATAGATATTTGGCTAGTTAAAATAAAAGCATATATAATTGACGCAAACTAACCTTCATGGCTTCGTACAATCTCCTCTTTTTGCGGGACATTGCCACCTTGGACATGTTGTCATCATCCTCGGCAAACTGTTGCAGGGCGTTATCATCTGTATCTTCAGCAATTTTCTTCTTAATCTCGGTAGTAGGAAGAGATGTGTATTGTGTCCCTTCCACTTCCATTTTTAGTTCCTGATGATACTGCTCCTGAAGAATCGACATCTGCATCCACCCAAAATTCCATATGCATATTTAATTAGATGGTCACAGTTACAATGACTCTAATTAACTAACCACCAGGATATAACGCAAGGTTTATAGCTTTACAGGATGCAGATGGAAATAGAGGTTCTATCATACAACCAAGAATAGTCGAGTCATTTATTTGGTTTTCACTTTTAATGAAGTTCAGGGACGAAGTGCTTCTGGGAACATACCATAGAAACCAAAATTGTAATTTACTCCGGAAAGATGCAGGCAAACTTGTCATTGCAGGAGACAAAGAATGTAGTGGAAAATGTATGCAAGTTCGTAAATCAGAAAACCAACCTTTCGTTTTCTCTCAGCAGCTTCTTTAGCTTTTGTTCGGTCAATGATCCCTTCAACAAGTAGATTCTGGGCATTCTCAAGATCATCTTGTTCGGCACCTGGCATTGGAAGAATTTCTTTTCTCGCAGCAGCTTGAAGCCTTTTAATGGTCTCTGCATACTCAGGTACATAGCCTTCTGCTTCATTGTCAACGAACGGAGACAAATGTGGTGGCAGAACCCTACTTGACAGAAAAGGTTTGAGCAACAGATATCAGAAACTGCTCGCAATAAAAGAGCTGAAATTGAAATACTCCCTACAACAAAAAAGAAGTGTCCACATGTCTATTTTACATAGCCTATTTACCAATTCTACCCTCAATTATGAGATGAGGAAATTCATTGCTCCCTCTATTATTAAGGGTATGATTGTCATTTAATTAATTAAAAAGTGTAATAGTTACATATTAAAACTCTGCCTTTTTCATTGTGGACATTTCTTTTGGGACAGAGGAAGCAGTAGGTGTTCTTTTGAAACCTACCTCCCAACCATATAATCCTCAGTTGGTAGTATGATCCATGCATTTATGCAGTCGAAGACCCATTGTGGCTGTACATAATCTCGGGAAATAAACCGATGACTTTGAGTTGGCCTATCAACAATCTGCAGAAAACACCAGCATAAGAAACCTATAAAAGCATTTGTTGTGATCAAATAACAATATATTGGGGTCAAAATGTAAAACATTGCCTGCTTAGATTTGTACCAATAGGAGGCATTTCATGCATATCGACATACCTGATAATTAATGCTCTGGTTAGATTCCTCAAATGGAGCTCCATCCCCCTCCCACGAGACAACGCCACCAAATGCAGTAATGACAAAAAGCAAGGACTCCCTCGGAACCTGAAAGCCCGTACAATACAATCACTTTGGAGCATGAAATATAGAAGGAAAAAAGAAACCCATATGAATAACATGATAAATGATTCAGAGGACACTAGCCCAACCATGCATGCTCGAAAAATCAAAAATAAAAGAAAGAGAACAAATTATTCAAACAGAAATGCACGTGCACATCAACTTATGAGGAACACCAACGTTCCACTCATATAAGATAAGCTTGTCAGTTAGACAGCATGTCACTACAACAAAAGTGGCTTTATAGGACGCTTAGAATGTCTAAGCGCCCTAATAGAAACGTCCAATCTAAAAGTGTTGCAATAGGCTTATAGGACGTTTTTGCATGTTTTAACAAGTTTTTTTGGACGCTTCAAAAATAAAGTGTCGTATTAGTTACTTTATAGGATACTGTTGAAAAGCGTCCTATAAACCCATCTTTTTATAGAACATTTTTTCAAATATGTCAATATAAAATAGCTAATACAACAGTTTATATTAAAGGAGTCCTAAAAACTTGTTGCAACGCCTAAAAGTGTCCTATAAACCTATTATAATACTTTTAGATACGACGCTTTTTGGTTTGGTCTATAAACTTAAGTCCTATAAAGTATTTTTTATTAGGATGCTTAGACATTTTAAGCATCCTATAAAGCCAATTTTGTTGTAGTGTGCTTTTTTATCAGTTATGCAAATGATCTCTAACAGTATATAACCCATAGAGGGATCACAAAAATGACCTAATCTAGAGTTTGATCAACCAACAAAAAAAAGAAAGTGGTCTCCACCTATATATAATCTTCCTAATATCATTATACTACGTGATATTGGTGGTGATGTGTTGAATATTAAAACCAATTCTCATGTTGCATAGGTTATCAGGCCCCCAGGACTATAAATAATTCCACAGTTCTCATGTCCCCTCACTTTTTTGTTCTTTCTTATTTCTCAATAATTTTCACACTACCTCAACAATCATTAGCCCATTGTCTCTGTCAAGACATATTTGACCATATTTCATAAAACAAACATATAAGGATTTCAAGAGAAAGACGCACAAGGGAGATGAACACTCTAAATGAAGCAAATACCGAGTTGCAAAAAACATTGATCTTACCTCACGACTCAAGAAGAAGGTCATATCTTTAAAGAGGGTTTTACAGGCCTTTGTTTCTTCGTCCTCATCATTCTCATCTGCAGCATTTTCAACAAGATTCATCAATGCACCAGGTTCATTAGCAGGAAGTTGATGCTGAAGTTGGGCTAGTCTAAGCTCAGATTCCTCAATGTTTGCTCCTTTCGTCTGGTCTTTAGCATCAACATACCTTGTTAAAGCGTATAAATCTGCATGAATTTTGAAGAGTTAATATCAGACATACAGCTCACAAAAACATCTCCAAAAACAGCACACTCATCCACAAACTTATGGTCAAAATATAGTGATCTAGTAACCATTTATCGGGTGGTAACAGCTTCATACCTGCTGCTAAAGCTTTCAGGCGAGGATCAAGGATAGGTGGATATTTCAAATTTATCGAATGATAGAGTCTAAGATTGACAAAGCCAAGGAGAGTCTGCATATTAAATTATCTATGTGTAAGTATGAGTTTGAAACAAAATAACAAATAGAATATACCGCAGATTCATAACAAATGCATGAACTTGATTATCACAAACCTCATAGAATTCCAAGAACGTAAGCATGATCTTGTAATCTACATCTTGAGGCATTACTTGCTGCAGTGCATGAGGAGTCAACCATGTGACTTTTTGCCCTTCAACATCTGCCTGAAAAGGTTTAAGTGGTCAACTCCCATTAGGTGAAATCATTCTACATAACACCAGATATATAGACAAATATACGCCATGACCACTATACCTGGTAATATATGCCTTTCACAGATATGAAAACTTTACGCAATTTATGTGTGCGAGAGATATATGCCTGCCACTCAAGGCTCAACCTAACAAAACATATATACCATTATATTAAACAGGCAACTAAAATGCAACACCAAAAGAAAAAAACAAGAGTCGGAAATCTCAAACTGAAAGAACACATACCCTCGACAGTTGTGGATTCGCTCTGCTTGAATATTTTCCCTCTCTATGGCAGGTAATGCAGCAAAAAGGTGCACCATGGTGAGGCAGTCATCCAAATCCCTTAATGAATCAATGAACTTTGGATATCTAAATCACAAAGTACCAATCAGAAAGTGATAATAACTGACAATACTATGTAACCTTGTTATAAATTGGATAAAGTCAAACAAACCTCTCCCGGATAAGCATATCAAGTGTGTAAGTAGGTTTCCTTGTCAACAGGCGTTCAGCAAGATCCTTGTTCTTCTTAGACACTGCTTTCTTTACCTTTTTCTCATATGCCCGCATCTCGCGGAACTTCTCAAGAAGTGGCTCATGTTTAAGAAACAATATATCTTTCATATGATAATATGTATGATGGTTTCCTTTCACCTTCTTCTTTGGGTCCCGAGGAAAAACACCTTTGAAGATGCATAATCTCCTGTTGAGTTGAAACCCCAAACACTTCAATATTAAATTGAACATCTTTGACATTACATAGTCTCTTATTGAACTGATAACCATTAACCCAAACACTTAAAATATCAAAATAAAAAAAGGGAGAAATTCTTTAAATCTAACATATTACATGTTCTGTATTTTGAATTAAGACAAACCCCATCACAGTAACTAGATGACTTCATAACTAGGATTATGTACTTCTTATCACAGTAACGCGTATACAAACACTAGGTGAAATTGGTCCATATACATGCAAATTGAATACAACTTAATACAAATTCACATTTAACTAAGAGAGAATCGATTGTAAGTTCAGACCTTCGGCTTCCTGATTCTTATCTCAGTTGCCTACATGTATAAATGCCAAAATTTCCAATAATCGGTACCTGAAAACGGAGAGACTGACTTGAAGGTACTTGACAGCTTGCGACCTGGTGATGTATCTGGCGGCGTTACCTTCCTTCTTCTTCCCCTGCAAAATACAAGTGAAACCATGGCATAAGAACAACAATATACTTGAGGATCCATTTGTGAATTTGGTTTAAAACTTACGGCAGGCCTGTAATGCTTCGGCATGGCTGGTAGTTGAAAGAAGGCGGTGTGAATGCCGTCTGATAAACCCTAAAAATGGGTTCTCGTTGTAAAGAGGCGGGGGGCAAACAGAGTATCGTCAACGTGCTACTGTCATATATCCTCCTTTTCTTTTTCTTCTTTGATTTTGGATATTGGGCTGGGCCTACTAATGGGCCTTTTTCCAATAACTCCATTTTGTATTGGATTGGACCTCCTCAGCCCAGACCCGACACTCAAATAACTTTTAAAAATCATTTTTTATGTATGAATTACTGTTTATTGATGCATATTATTTAAAATTCAAAATTATAAGTAAATTGTGCGTAGGTATAAATTATTAAAGCTTCATGTTTGAATTCGTGTAACTAATTGCAGATAAACATAATCAAATAGAGGATAAACATCTCATTTTAAATATAATTTTTTTAAATATAATTAGGATAATATTGAGTTCTAATAAAATACTTAATTATTATCTTTGTAAAAAATTACATTATTAAACCATAAATAAAAAATGAATTCCAAAATTACACAAAAAAAAAAAGTTTTAAGTAGTTAGTTTGGTACTAAAGGGGTGTTTGAGATTGTTTATAAAAGCTGTTTTTTAACTTATTTCA